CACCATTGGATTTGTTTTGTATTTTTTTTCCAAGTAAGATGCTAAAGTAGGGAATTTATTATTTGTAATACACTTTTTTCTAAATCAAGACCAGTCCACCAGGAAGAAGCTGTCATCATATATGCCATCAGATCATTCAAGTAAGGTATAACTTGTCAAACCCTGTGCAACCTCTTGAGACATTGCCAATGCAGAAGAGTCCAGTGCCCATCAGCACCCAGCTGGTACTTTAAAAAATGCCCCCTCTTGCCTGGGGAAACCTTTTTTGAAGCACACAGGCTGTGCTGCATAGGTCTGCACCCTTTTTGCCATACAGCAACATGTAATTACTGAAGGGGTTTGGCGGCTTTAACCCTTAAAAACTGGGGCACCACATTTCAATTGAATCAGAAACTCCTAGACAAACTCACCTAGACTTTTGAGGTGCCTCAAAGAGTGATATACACAGAGATACATAATTAAAAATTCCCCCTTACTGCACTTTATTAATGGATTTAATTAAAATTAGACATAATTCAGCTCAAATACATACAGTTAAAACACACAACGTGGCAAGGTCCACAATGAGGCTTTTCACTTATAAACCACTTGCCCTCCTGAGGATTTACCCTCCCTTCCTGACCAGGCTATTTTTTGTGTTACGGTGCTGCGTTACTTTAACTGACAATTGCTTTAACTGACAAGTGCAATGCTGTACCCAAATGAAATTTACGTCTGAGCTTTCTTTTGGTTGTGTTTTATTGCCTGTGTGTTTTTTATTTTTTGAGATATAAAAAAAAAAGACCAACAATTATTAGAAAAAAAACAATATTTTTGACTTTTTGCTATTAAACATGTCCAGTAAAAATTAAAAAAAGTCAAATTTCATCATAAATTTAGGCCAAAATGTATTCTGCTACATGTCTTTGCTAAAAAAAATCTAAATAGGTGTAAATTAATTGGTTTACATGAAAGTTATAATGTTTACAAATTGCGGTACTGGGATTACTGGGATTTTTTTTATTTTTACTAGTAATTGTGGTGATGAGTGACTTATAGCGGGACTGTGGGACTGCGACAGGCATTCTGACACTTGGGGTAACTGACTTGGTGTCACTGACATCCCCAGTGACACCAACACAATGATCAATGCTAATAAAAAGCACTGACACTGTACTAATGGCACTGGGCAGGAAAGGGTTAACATGTGGGGCGATAAAAGGGTTAACTGTGTGCTGTGTGTATTTTACTGTGGGGCTGTGTTTTTGTGCGTCACTGTAAGCACACTGCTTTGCATGGCTGTGCTATGCAAAGCAGTGTGCAAGAGCTGACAGGGGAGAAAACTGTTTTGTTTACAAACAGTTCTCTGCCCCAGTGGAGATGCTCAGCAATCACTGGGTGCCGGCGTGTAATCACCGGCCGTGACCCAGTGATTGACAGCCACGGCCGCGAATGGCAGCGTGGGTAGGCAGCGCATGCCTCGAGTACGTTCCCCTATCCAGAAATGCAAAATCACACACACACATATATATATATATATATATATATATATATATATATATACGTTATTTTGCAAACGCACCCGTGAAAATCTGTAGCAGTATTTCTGCTATAGGACGGATGGGAAATGGTTAATATACACTGGGTCAGTCATATATTCTTCATACTTCCTGCTTCTTCAGGAGGACAAAAGCCTCTACTACATCACTAAAGAAAAATATACACATAAAACAAAAACATATACACAATACATACATATGCTAGTATGTTGTATGGGACTTGATACATACATCTGTATGCTGATGTCATAAACTTGCGAAAGGTCCTGTATGGCAAAAAAACAGTTCAGGCTATTGGGACTGGTGGACTCCAGGTCACCTTTTTTGGGGGTCCACCAGCCCCACTAGCCTGATCTGTTTTTTGCCACACAGGACCACACCCAAGTTTGTGACATTAGCATTCATATGTGTGTATCAAGTCCCATACAAGTTACTAGCATATGTATATATGTTTTTGTTTTATGTGCAAATTTTTCTTTCTTTAGTGATCTAGTAGTGGCTTTTGTTGAAAAACCAAGCACAGATTCCTTTGAGACATGTTGAGGAATATCTTTGAAATAGATACCATACTTTGATGCTAAGAATTATTGCTCCTGTATATATGATTGATACGATGTATATTTATAAGTGAAAATCCACAATGTGGGCCTTGCCACGTTGTGTGTTTTTTATCTGTATGTATTTGAGTTGAACTACATCTAGTTTTAGTTAAATTCATTAGGAAAGCACAATAAGGAGGAATTACTGTATTCTCCCCAAGTTTTTAATTATGTATCTCTATTACTCTTTGAGCCACCTCAAAAGTCCATGTGAGTTTTTTTAGAAGATTCTCAAACAGCTACCCAATATGATCAACTTAGGCAGAAATATAATATCACAATTGCAGGAAAAGGCAAAAAAAAGATAGAAAACCCTAAATGAATTAGCGATGGCTATATTTTCTTTTTATCTCTGTCAGGAGTTTGATTTAACTGAGTTGAACTGCAAACCTGGCATCTTGAATTACTTATCTCCTTGTATCCTTCTGCTTAAAATCACATTCTGTATATTGTTTAATTATAGTTTAATTGTAGTTGTAGTTCAGGAACACAGTACTTTGTACCTTATATGGGTTACACTGGAATTTCTGCTGTCTTCTACTGAAATTTGAGCTGTATGACTATTATACATAAATCCATTGGACCCCCCCTTAGGGGAACATCAGAACACGCTCAGTGCATGAATTAACTGCTACAACACAAAGTATGTGCAGCAGACAGTGTGCCTATTTCATCCTAACAGCATCATTTGTATTCTGTAACAGGTGAAAATGTCGGTATAAAGTGAGAAACTGATAAGATCAGACTACAGACGAGATTAATATTACAGCTGTTGTGAGGATGACCTGCTTCACAATATGTATTAGGATCAGCGACAATATTAGAAATAAAAAAAACTCTGCATATCTGTAAGCTGTTGTGGGGCATTCTCTTACATTTTCCTCTAATCCAAGCTCTTAGATAAGAGATTTAGCCTATTTTATCAGCAGGAAAATACCTTGCATTCAATGCAGAAAGCAAAAGTTAGACATCAAAATGACAAAAGAGGCAAAAGGGCTACACTTATGTAAGAAATCAGATAATATCCACAAAAAAACCTTTTCTCTAATTGGCAAACATATTAGATTGTTTTCTCAATTAATATGTAGAATGTTTTCTTTCTTTTGTATCAGATTTAGTATTCATGTTTATAGCAAAATTTCCAGTTAAATAAAAAGTAGTATTGTGTATTCAAGATGTTGTTAAAGTCCTAAATTATAACGCAGTTACAGCTCTGTTAAACCAACTTTGCAAATGATGGTGATAATGTACTATACCAGCATGTGTTCACTTAAAATAGATACTGATTAAACTTTTTTTTTCTTAAATTGCTATATATGAATATACTGTAAAAAATGAAAACAACCCAGTGTACAAGTATGTTTTTTGTCTCACTGTATATTATGTGCTCATGGCACTTAACTGTAACGCAAAACTCTAAATATTTTAGACTGAACTAGTTAAAAGTTCTTTTAATCATTCAATGCTTCCTACTTTATTTTTCTCACTAGGATGAACATTTAATTACAACCAGCATGCTGTGTTTTTTAGTCATCAGTTGCTCACAAACATTTGTAACAGGCAAATATCAAGTGCCTCATTCTTTACAACTCCTGCACCCTTCCCCCCACTCCACCCCATCTTATTAACATTTAGAGCATGTATATGGTTGTCACAATAATGAATGTTTTGGTCATGCCCACAGTAAAAGTGGTGTAGTATGATGCTATTTTTTTTTACATTTCACATAAAAGCATCTGCTCAATTTTTGCCACCTTTAATTCTGTTGATGTTAACCACTAGCCACCCTCCCACAGTACATTTAGAGTGGTTGGGTGGCAGCTACAGGCTAGGTGACATACCCATACATCCCATAGCACATGTGTACTGGCGTGCCCCCTTAGGTGCACAGTTTTGCGATCCTGTGACCTCTGTGTCACAGCAGATCATGGTGCTCTGGGTACATGATCACTGGTTGTGATGATCACTGTTATAAGCAACTATTGCTTATAACAGTGATCATCACAGCAACAATATTGTAAAAAAAATCCCTGATCACCACCCAGAGTAGTACAGTGTTACTATGATAAAACTGAACTACTCTGATGCTTAAAAAAAAAAAAAAAAAAGAAAAAAGAAAAGAAATAAAGTGTTAATAAAAATTATTTATTTATTTATTTTTGTCACCAGTCAATATCCCTGATCAGTGCCACACTGGTCACATGATGATGTACTGCACTGGTGACAGTATGTAAAAAAAAATTGTGGAAAGAAATGATTAATTTCTACATTTTTAAAAAAAAATTGATTTTTGGAAAATTCGGACAGGAAACAATTAACCTTTCAGCATGTTTTGGAGTGTGGGAGGAAACCAGAGTACCCACAACACAGGGAGAACATGCAAACATCATGGATATAGTATCCTGACCAGGATTGAAATTGGGGACCACACTGTTGCAAGGCAGAAGCGCTAATCACTAAGCCACTGCGCTGCACTTATGTTTAATTATGTTTAATAGGGATAATCCTACAAAAAATTAAGAAAGAAGGCTAAACAAATAATACATGGGGGTGAAGTTGCTCTTATAGTGTAATTATACTTACTTTTACTCCAGTGCTGCGGTGTTCGGGAGCACCCTGTCAGCCGCTGATATCTTCAGCCAGTCTTCTTCCAGGTACTGATTTTCATTCATTTTAATAGGCCGGGCAGAGATGACATCACTTCCATGCATGCATGGGAGTTAATTAATCTCAGCATGTCAAAACTGTACACTGACGTACTGTATGTGTGTGCGTGTGGACAGGCAGATAAGAAAATTCTCCTTTTTCCTCTGCTTTCTGCATTCAAAATTATTATTATTATTACATATGATATTCTACTGACCTCAGCTACTGGGATCCCTTCTGGTGGACGACATTGCAAAAGGACTTCCTGTTCCAACGATACTTCCTTTCCAAGAGGTTCTTGCTCAAAAGTCTTCCGTAAATCTAAAAAGTATTAGGGAGTTAGTTAATACCTTAGAAATATATACTTTCTTTTTACTGCTCATGCATGTGGGCCCTAAGTACCCCTCACTCTTTCCTTAAAATCTACTGTGCTAGCTACTGTCCTAGCTTCTTAGTAGCTACTCAGAAACAAGTAGTGCTGGAATGTCAATGACAGGCAATGTTGCAAGCACCATTTTTCTCAGAAAAAAAAACAGCATATAGCAAAGCAAAAACTCCACTGCACGTCTCACATGTTAAGACATTCATCTCAATACACTCTTTCAGCCCATATCTTAAGAAACATGGTCAATATGTCTCATGCTTTTTTTAACACCTTCAACCTGGAGAGGAACTAGCTTGCTCACATTCATTTTTTCCCTCATCAGCACACAACAAATGCACATGTACTTTTCAAGAACGAATAGCTCTGCAAGTTTTTTAATATACATCTTACACTGTCAATCACTTGAATTATTTCTTCCAATATTATATTCTTTGATGAAACACTAAGATTTGATTGAGAAATCAAACACTAAGATTTGAGAAAGAATCTAATGTATTACATGACTGTATAATACTCAGACTATTGTAAAATACTAACATAATGTTCAATCTCAAATTTCAGTCAGACCCCTGAAACCTAAGCACCTACCCTTAAGCAAACCCTAAGAATCAAACTAAAACCAGAAAGTAGTGATATGGTGTTTTATGGGGATACCTATCACTGGGTTTTAGAAAAACTGCACAAAACACCAACGCTACATTCTTAAACCTAGGAAGAAGCTTAAAGCCCAATTTTATTTTTATTCTTGAGTTCCCCCCTGAAGCCCCCACCCTGTACTAATTTTTTTCTACATCCCACTATACATTTAAAAACCTGCAGTCTTCAGGCCAGTCATGTGATACCCTGGGTCCTTTTTTTTTCTCCAGTGGTTTCAGTGGGTACAGTGTTCAGGTAATGACATATGTGTCATTCTGTCAAGGAGTATTATGAGTCTAGGCTGGCATGATGACGTGCCCCCAGAGTGTGCATCCATGACAGCCTAGGGCCTAGGCTCACAGAAATTGGTCTAAATAATGCTGCGTGTCATTCAAACCCAAAAGGGGACTAAATCATAGAGTAGTAAGTCTTCATGGAAAGTAATTAGAGGGGAGGTGAGAATCGCAGCCAGAGTTGCTTTTTTTATTTTGAAACTGGTTGAGCAATTCTTTTTTCATTTAAGTGCAATTTCCCAGTCAGTAATTCCTTTTGGGAAAGCACATAGGTATTAAGGCACTTTAACTCTAAAATGACAACCTAAGCCTAATTCTCAACTTCAACTGAATTCTAAACCTAATCTTCTAGGTATCAGTATTATTATTGTGTGAAAAGGAAAAATATATATATGCTGACACACAATATACCTAGAAAACAGTGATGAATGTAGCAATTGGACGTACAAATATGGACGCGGACATCCATTTTGATAAAGACCCTCCATCTTGTATCATTTCTCACTCCAAATCAGCTCCCCCCTCCCTCTCTGTTGAGTGACACGTGGTCCTTGTGTGCTGGGTTCAGAAGTGCACAGGACACAGTTGGATATCCTTCATGGTTGTAAACCCAATTAGCTGATGCCAGGGTGTCTGGCAAACTCTTGCTCTGAAGCTGATCGTAAAGCCATAAACCCGGCAATCACTGTACTTCAAAAGCATTCCAGGATAGCAGTAAAACATATATCCCATCTGAAAACACTTTTTCAAACAATTTCGTAATTTCTCGTAGGTAATACATACCATAAATCAAAACATATATTCAGACTGGTCATTTTAATGCGAGTTGCCTGATATCTTTCACCCCTAGTTAAAGTCTACAGGAGAGTAGGAAGCCATATAGTGCTAGCTGAAATAGTAAGATATGGCATATTTGATATCTAGACGTTCAGCAGATGATTCTGCATATTATCCTACCAGTGGATAGGATGCTCCATGTACCTATGGAAGATTATTGACCATGGTATAAACGTGTGAGGGATTTGGTCATAGAGGAGTTCCCCGCCTAAACACCCTTCCCAAATGAGGTGATTGGTTCTCTGCTTTAAGGAGACACCCTGCTGGTGGACTAGAAAATAGGCTGTCAGGCCTGAGAGAGAGAAGTTGAAGAATTCTCCCTTTTTAACATCAGGAACCAACTTTGAGAGAAAAGGCACCCTTTTGCTCTGACACTTGAACGCTACTTAAACCAAGGCTGACGGCAAGTATTCTACCTCTCTAAACTTATTTCTGTCATCTCTTTGTTGTAGTATTGTTCTCTGTATTTATATATATATATATATATATATATATATATATATATATTATTGGCTACGTCTTTTTCTGTAAATACTTTTATTGCACCATTTTGACCTTTTTAGTAATAAATCTTATTTTCTGAAAAGCGTTGAACGGTTTCTAAAGCTCTTTAAAGCACACTGAGAGAATCCCTGTCTCTGAAGAACGCTACTGTGTATTTTAAAAACTTCTGCATACATCTGCCTGCGGTGACAGTGTGTATACAGACGCTTATTCAAACATCATTGTGTTACTGCTAAGATTGGCGACTTTCCTCCTTACAAAAAGGCGGTGGTGGCAGTGTGAAGGGTTAATTGCGTAATTAACCTGACCCAGTAACAATCAGGCTGCAGTACATAGATTGTGGTCTATTAGCTGGAAAATCTTTGTGCAGGGTGCAGCTGAGCGTAGTATTGTTAAGCACGTGACAGTGCGGTTTTAGATTGGCTAGTCCTTCGGTCACGAGTTGGTGAAAAGGGCTGGGGGTCTGACACCGCATCCGTCACAATGAAAACCCCAGATAAAAAGGCTGCAGGGAATTTAACTAAGTTAGTGAAAGGGATGGTGGTTTTACCAAGTTTCAGTAAACTGGCCCATGTCTGTACAATGTCTGTGTGCTAACATATAGCCTAACTTGAGCTTTTATATTAGTTAAGTTGACAAGAGTGCCCCCCTAATAATTACAAGTACCGTTCATAGCCTGCATAGCTGGATGAAAATACGAATCTTTATTACAGCCCAGCCTTATAACATTTTATGTAAAGGTTGAGTTTCAATTGACTGATTCTTCCAGCACATTCTAAAATGTACAATATTAACTTTTATTTAATCACTTACTACTCTCCAGGAACTTCTGAGCAACAGGATCTGCAAGCTATTACTTTAGAAATGTATGGCAAATGTTAAACAGCTCTGTGATCTTTGGTCCCTGTACATAATACAGTTGTAGTGAATAGTTTGGTGCTGATTCACAATCAGGTTATGAATGAACCTATCTGTCATATATCCACTGTGAGGAAACGGCACCCAGTTCAGCAGTGACAGATTAAATAAAATAACCACATATTTCCATTCAGTCATTTTGCAGTCAAACCAGATGGTATTAATTTAGACCTTGCATTTTGAAATTCCAGCAGTTTATTTACGAATTTATTAGATTTTCAGTACAGTCGTCTGTTTATTTAACCTCCTTGTGCATGTCACTGATTTATATAATGAAGGCACAACCTTATGACCTGTGACTGGCACTCCTATTCTAGTTGAGTCATACCATGAAAGATCTTAACAATTCCAGTCATTATGTGCACATGGTTTCAGGAGCTAAGAAATGTGACACCACTTCTTGTCTGGATTTTTGATGGTTTACTGGTGCAGAGAATACTTTCTTAACTACCTTCATCCATTATGCATATGATACCAGCAGTCTGGTTTTTATGCTTTATAATCAACACCAATAATTAACATCAGTGATCACAAGATTTTTGTTTTTGTGAGAATGTGATTCAGTTTTAGTTTTTCCTTTCACATAATGGATACATTTATGTTCCCTTTAATTTACAGATATAAAGCAATCTTTTAACGTAGTCACTTTTTTTAAATCAAGATGAAATTATCCAAAGGCAAGTTTTTTTTTTGTTAAGCAAACCTGTGCTTTAATAAAGTATAACTTTTTTTCATTTTTGATTCGAGTAAGGGAGGGTCATAAGCCCTGTCATGTTTTTTGATCATCTGTATCCCATTGGGTATGTTTCCCTTAACATTTTAGCCTCTTACACACAATGAGAATATCAGATAAATGATCTTCCATTTTTTGGTTTTTACATGTCTCCATATCAAAAATAAGGAGGTTACTCAATGTATGAAAATTCTAGTGCGACAGAATAGAATTTTGGAAGTGATGTAATGTATTGTATTTTTGGATGAAAACTGTACTGATTAAATGAAAATAGTTTGTTCTGTTATCGTACGAGAAAACATTTTGTGTTTGTCCCTTCAAATAAATTCAGATGAACTGTTGTGATCGGCTGTCAAAAGCTGTGTACCTGTACTGATTAAATGAAAATAGTTTGTTCTGTTATCGTACGAGAAAAATGTGTTTGTCTTTTCAAATAATTTCAGATGAACTGTTGTGATCGGCTGTCAAAAGCTGTGTACTAATGATAAGATTAAAGTACGGTCCCTTTGAAAGCGGTGTTTTTTGTATGATTTTCTGATCATGTGTACAAGGCTTTAGTCCCATAGCCAAAGCAGAAATTGAGAATTAATGTCCCCTTTGGAAGATTTCTATCAGTGTTCTGCGGAAAACCGAACATTTTCCTTAACTTTTACTGATAATGGTAAAAATGACAACAAAAGGGTGACTCCCCCTAATGGGGACTTTCTTCACTCCCTATGTGACATCACTGGGCCAATCAGAAGCATTAGCACTGTCACATGAGGGAAAGGGAGGGAATCACATGCTCCACCAAATGCAGAAAGTTTCTGTATTTTTTTTTTTTTTGCTCCAAATGGCCAACAGGTTGGCAGGGAAAGATATAAAAGGCAAGAGTGTACTGTAGGGGAAGCAGATCATGGTGCTAAAATAAACTGATTGGGAAAACTTGTGGACCTATGTTTTGTTACATCACTTTATCAAATAAAGATGGTTATCTTTGTCACATGATATGCCATTCTCATAACATAGTTAAACA